AATCTGTTCAGGTCACAAGTTCTTTTCACATTCATGACCGGAGGGGTGTTTCAGTGTATCTGATTTCAATTCTTGCAAGATCTTGCTGGATTACATTTATGAAAAATAGGCTGGCCCTGATTTCATTYATCTAATCCCTACAAACACAAGGAGTGGGTCATTGTTGTTCTCACTCAAAAAGGGGCGGGGCATCATTGTTCTCACCCAAAAAGGGGCGGGGTATTGCATAGCTGCTAGCACCCACTCCTGTTTATGGCATGTTAGGATGCTTTAGTATATAAAGTTGTTTCTAAAACTTTTTTGCAGTAATTTAGTAAAACAGTTGAACATGTTTTCTGAAATACAGTATTGTAAAAATTTAATTTGAACTTTTCTCTAAGGTTAAATTTAACCACCGTAAGTATTTGACTCTTTAAGAGCTTTGGTTGTTTTTCCATTTTTTTGTGATTCACACATACTGCTTCAAAGATTTTTCTATCTAAACATCCAAACAAAATATAGTTATTTTGTGGATTTTGCATGCAAATTCACTGTAGCAGTCAAATGTCACATTAGTTCATCCAACCATTCTTTAAAGTGCCTGTGACATGCATCTCACTCAAATGAAAAAAGTCAAAAAAACATCTGTATATTTAAGAAACTTGGCGTAACACATACACGGTTTTACTCATTTTGTTAAATTTTGTTGCTGGCAGATTTTCCTCAGAATTTGACTCAGCTAAAGTGAAACAGGAAGTAACATCAAAGGGGAATTCTTTAAGAAATGAAACTCTAGGTTGTTTTTTTTTATTGTAACATTATTTGAACACTGTTTGAACACTTCATCGCTTTGTGACTCAAGATAATACAGTATAAAACATTGGATTCGTCGCTACATTCTGTGTTGTTAGCCTTGTAGCAATGCTATGTTTACATGCACACTTTCCTCTTTTATGTCACTTCCTGCATGGTATCCGCAGGTCCTTAAAAATTCTTAAATTTACATATCTAAAATTAAAAAAGTGTGCAAGTTGGTGTTAAATTTGTTACTCAAAGGTCTTAAATTTTGTCGGGCAGAAGCGATTAAAGTTCTCTGTCTCCCCCGGCTGTCTCTGCAACGCATTTCCTGTTGAGAAAAGAAAAAAACAAACGTGTTGTGATGGATTAACTGACGCTGCTTTCAACTAACAAAAAGAACCAGAGTCACAGTTTTAGCCAATCAGAGCAGGGCGGGTCCTGCTGTCTGAGCGGATACTGCAGGTGAGGTAAACGGAGTTGCTCGGCCTCGGACTTTTCCAATGACTTTTTTTTTCGACCCGCTACCAGAACCACCCACCCCGCATGAAGGTAAAGTTACGTAATAAGTTATTAAA